CAGCCTTCTCCCTTTTCAATTTAAGAAGTTAACAACCTTGGTGACATAGACTGGAAAGACTCAAGAGTTCTGCTGATACAACATTTTTTGAAGAACAGATATTCTTTCTTCAAAGAAGAAAGGTGTATGTACCAAAGACAATTTTTTAACATGACAGGAGAGGAGTGAGTAAGATCTTTATGAACAGGAATTGAAAGCTGGGTTGTTAAATCCATATTTAGTCAGCTATATTAGCAGACCTGATTTATAAATATCCTAAGCATCCTCATCTTCAAACACCATTTGGGCTTCAAGGGTGTCCAGCATAGTTGAAAATAAGGCCATTAATTTTAGAGCCTAAATAGAATTCAAATAACCTAACACTAAGATCCTGTTTTGAAAATGTCAGAATCTCGCTCAGAAGTTCTTTGGTTCCACATAGCTTTGCTGGGCAAAATTGTCTGTAAGTACAGATGAACTAGGTTAGACCAGATGTCCATCTATCTCACTGTCACTATTAATATTAAGAGTTTCAGGAAAAACTAGGAGCGTGGTATATACCAAAGGACACTTTCCTCACCATATTCTTCTACATCCCAGCAACAAGTGATGCACCTAAAAAGATTATTTATACATAGTACTAGGATAAGAACATTTCCTTGTGCTAGCACTTAGTACAAACTAGTACATTAATACCTTAATTCAAACAGAAAAAGTAGCAATCTTATGTTATTCAAACAATGTGTGCTGGAAACAAAAGAGAATTTCAACTGAATGCAAAGGCTTACAGTTCTCAGGAAAGTAAAATAAACATCAGCACATTTGCTCTGAAGAACTAGAAAGCTGCTAAGCAGTTTCTAACACCACAGAAACACAAGGGATTGGTATGACTGTGAAAAAACTAAAGTAGTTAAACACTGCACAAAAAAACAAAATTGCAAGCGCAGGCTCAGGTGGCATCAAAAGTTAGAGTTTCTGTATTTGAAAGAATGTTTTTCCACAGGGAATGAAAAAGAACAAGGAATTCAGAGTCTCTTCAGGTTCTGAAAAAAAATAAAGGAAATTGAGTTGTGAGAAGAGAGGTCTAAACACTAGGATTTCAAATAGGATCAACAAAACTGGATTGGGAGTCAACTCATTTGAAAAGCCCAAACAACCAGCGAATACACAGACCCTGCTTTTCATCTGAAATCTTTCATTCAGCATGTGAGTTAACTGGCTCATATAAGAGCATCTGCAACTGTGAAATGCCTTTAAATGCCAATGGGGTCGACAACTCTTCAGGTAGTACCACAGCATCAACAGCATCAAAACACAGTGCTACTTTTAATCTCCTGATTTTAACCTCTTAGTTCTCTGAGCGCATGAATGATATGCACCCTTCAATGCAGTGCATAGTCAGGGATCTCTTCCATGAACAACTTAATTAGAATCTCTAGGGCCTTGTAGTCTGACACACTTCAATATTCCTTTTACTCCAATTCACTCTCTTCTGCTAGTGAAAGAACTTAAAATTAGATTACTAACTGCTGTAATATGTTCATGAGATTCTCAACATTCTAGAGAAAGCATTGAGCCACAGGCTTTTAAGCCACTTAAATTTGGCCCACAATGCTTTATGAATTTAATTTCTGTACAGTTCAACATAATACCACCAACAAAGATGAGTAGGCCACATCATTCTTTTACTAGAAACGAATTTAGGAGAAGATATACATAATCACTTAAATTAAAACAGTGTAAAACTAAAGTGTGCAAAACTAAACCCTCCAGCTTCAAAGATGTATAGGAAGCAAGAGGAAATGATTGCAGTTATTACATATTTCCATAGAGAAGTCCATAGCAAATTAAAAAAAACACAGGAAAATATGAACAGAAAACACAAGTGCAATGAATATGCTTTCAACTACGGTTTTGCTCATAATGCATCTGTCAGACTTCAAGAGAAATTGCAGCTGACCCACAGTAGCTGCCACTGAAATAGACAGCTCAAAACACCTAATTAGATAATTCTGTGCAAGAACTATCATAATTTCATACCAATCTAATGTGTTGGGGAAACATCACTCCTAAATAAGAAGAAGCATTTTGAAATGTGAAAAGCACAGTAAGCATAATTAATGGAGAAACAAAGAAAAGTACCAAATGCTGTAAAGCCCTAATACTTCAGATAATGACTAAATTTCATGTCTGTTTCCTTCCCTGGTAGACAGGAGCCCAATTAGAGTTCTCATAACAACAGTTTCTATGTGCTGGCATGCTGTATTATGTTTGTACTGCTACAGATAGACTAGAAGATAAAAAGTAAATACTACAGCAACCTTTTTAACCCAAGGTAATTGCTAACTTTTTTTTCTTTGTGTGGGTTTTGACACGGATTTGCACACAGTTTATTGTTAGCTTAAGCAATTTAGGCAATTATCGTTGCATGCATACGAATTAACCATTTAAGTAGCTTGCTATATACACAGAAGCTTCTATTGGAAAAATCACATGCAACAAGAACAGATGAGCTATCATGAGTCACTTAATAATCTCCTGCCCAAATACAACTTGACATTTAAACACCTTAAATTAGTTAAATTTTGAAAAATTGGAATGTGTTTGGTTTGATGCACTGTTAAATAACAGACATCAGGAAGTATGCAAACCCCTTCCTTCATCCTTATTTTTAATGATGTAGATTGCTTGGAACTGACAGCAGTTAGATGAAGCATAGGGTAATAGAAGCACAGGTTTTTCTCATCTCCTTCACAAAGAAAAAACAATTACAGTGTTCTGAACATGCAGTCTGGACTCAGATAATGACAGATGGTAGTGCAACAGAATTCCCTGCAGGTATCTTTTTCCTATAAATTCTGGGAAAGGTACAGGCAGGGAAGGCACTGAAAATTTCCCATAGAGCAATAGCATAACAACGATTAAATCATGAAGATTTCTCCTACTGTGTGCTGTAATTTTGGCCCAGACATCACTATCTGCTTTCTCTCTCATTTTGAACTATTTGTGTGTCTTGCCTTTCACGATTCCACAGATCCCTGCTCTTATCTCACAGCTAAGTCAAATGGCTGGATTCTTTCGCAATTATAGCACGGCCCTGTGCCAACCCTTTAGTACCATGCCTTTGAAGTCACAAAAGACTGCTGAGCAGCAGCAAATTCCATTTGGCTTCAAGAATATGGCACACAGTACCACACCTCACTTCAAATCAAGCCACCAGGCAAAGAACTGGAGAATCTGTGGTAGGTGCACAAACCAACTTGTTGCCCTCATTGAGTGAAGAACTATCATTGAAAACTCAGTAAACAGCAAAAGGTATCTAAAAGCAATGAGCCTTATATGACAGAGGAGGGTGACTGCATGCTAAAGTTTTACATTTTCTAGATAAAAATGAAATTTAAAAAGCAAGTAAACTTCTACTAAAAACCATACAATATTGTTAATGTGCCAACATAATTTTCTACTTTTAACCCAAAAGAGGATTGCAAGAGGAAAGCTGTAGGCAAAAAAGTCTACAGCTTGAAAGGGCCAGTCAAATCAGCTAAAGGTTGTAGGACCGGTGAAAGTCACCAGGAATTTGGTGACTCAGACCATGAGACCCGCTTTGCAAAACCTGGCCTGCTGATGGGGTCCATCGGTCAGAGAAGAGTAGGAGCATCTTCAGTCCTGGTTGGTGAAGACAGCTTTAAACTAAAGTTGCTGGGGAAGGGGAACCTCAATCCACCTCACTCTTATGATGCCCAGAGCCTGGAGAGAGGTCACAGGTCAGCACAAGTGGACCTGAAGAGCACCACAAAAGAATTTCAGCCAGTAAGTCAGTTTCCTCAAGGGCCCAGCTTAAAAGTCTCCATGCTAATACATGCAGTATGGGGAATAAACATGGCCTGTGAGGCCATGATCTTATTGGCATCAGTGAAGTTCCCAGTGACTGGAAAGAAGGAAACACAACCCCCATTTTTAAAAAGGTACAGAAGGATGACCTGGGGAACTACAGATCAGCCAGTCCAAGGTCCAGCAAAAGCATGGAGCAGATCCTTCTGGAAACTATGCCAAGACACATCAAAGATAAAGAGGTGATTGGTGACAGCCAACATGGCTGCACTACTGACAAATCATGCCTGAGAAGTTTGGTGGCTTTCTAGGACAGGGTTACAACAGTGGTGGACAAGGGAAAAGAAATTGATGTCATCTACTTGAATTAAAAGCATTGGACACAGTCCTGCACAACACCTTTGACTCTAAAATGGAGAGACATGGATTTTATGGAAGGACCACTCAGTGGATAAGGAATTGGTTGGATGGTTACACTCAAAAGGGTTGCAGTGAATGACTCATTGTTCAAGTGGAGAACAGTGATGAGTGGTATCCTCAGGGGTCAGTAAAGGGACTGGCACTGTTCAGTATATTTTTAACAGACACAGACAGTAGGAGCAAATGCACACAGCCAGTTTGCTGATGACACCAATCTGAGTGGTACAGTCAAATTGCTGGAGGGAGCAAATGCCATTCAGAGTTACCTGGACGGGCTTGAGAGCCTTCACAATTCCATGAAAACTTGATAATATAATCCTTACTACTTGCCTTTAGCTTCTGAAGATAAGTGTTTGACTAGAGACCCATACATTGGGAATGGTTATGAAGAAACTCTAGACTGGGATTTTAACATACTACTATTCTGTCAAAACAGAAGGCTAAAATCAATACCAAAAGAAAACAAGATATCAAGTATTTAGATCAACAGAACCAACTGAAGACCTTGAGTTTGACAAATGTAAAAATTCACACCCATATTTCTAATAAGCTTATATTTCCTTTCCCTATGCCCTGTTAAAACTAACATTAAAAACATTAAAAAGGAGGCAAACCAACCTACTCACATGAAGTCAGAACATGAGTTTTAAGTTCAGTTTAAGAAAAATAGCTCAGCAGCTTTATATTGACAGCAACTTGATGATGTTAACTAGCTGGTAAGAAGGAGTCTAACAAAATACAGCAGATTGGATACTAAAAAGTTTCTTTACCTAGCCATTCCCAGGCTGGAAAAGTTGGAAGGAACAATCAGAACATCAAGCCTGGAAAAGGGGTGGGTACCCAGTGTGGCATAAGCAGCTGAGAGGCACTGAGGAATTAGCTGAAGCAAATATTCTTCACAGCTTTCCATAAGGCACCAGGGAGCAAAGACTCTGTAAGGAATGACTGCTTGCAACCTGGCAGCAGGATTTTGGAAACGGCAAGGATACTCCACATGACCACAGATTTCTTCATGCCACCTGACAATACAAAACAAAACAAAAAAATACTTAATTGTGATATCAGAAATGTGCACGACTGACTATGCTAAGACAACGATATTCTCTAGATATCAGAATGACAGAATTGATTTCCATAGAACCAGCCCACGTGCATTCTCACCCTCTTCACACATGTGAAACACTCACATGTGTGAAACACTTCACACTTTGAAACACTCAGTACTACATCCGAGTAGAACTCCTAACTGTAAGAGAGAGACTAGTCACACCTTTTTTTTATAACAGATACACATCAAAAGAAAAAGTGCTCAAAATATATGTAAAGAGAACTAATAAGAATACAAAAATATTTACTCAGAATATTCCTATTCAAACTTGGCTACGAAAATAAAATTCTATGCATATTAACATCATATTAATACAAGTATTTTAGGTTCAATTGCAATGTAAGTCCAGGAGGGATTTTTTTCTGTTGTTGTTATTAAAATTCTCCAGAAGCTTCAAGTAAATTATTATTATTATTATTATCATTATCAATATCATTATCATTTATATTAGGTTAAAAACCCCAGTAGATGTCAATTTAGGCTTATCATGCTAGATATTCAATAGTACCACATAAAGCCAACCTTACTTTATAGTACTTTTACAGGATATTTAGAGCTCTAGATGGAAGAAAGGAGGGGTAAATAAAATCCTTCCTAAACACTGAGTCTGCCCAAATAGATTCTTATCTAAACAGAAATCAGCTTCATGTTTTCACCTGTTAGCCTATGTTCTCTGCAGTGCACAGCCTCTCCTTGGTTAGAAACTTCAGTTTAAGTAATCTGGTTCTACTATGCCTCGACAGGCAAAGAACCTAGTGTTGCTCAAAGCACTTATGCTTGGAAGATCATGCTGACACAGAAAACAAAATGACAACATGTAGAAAAGGATGAGAATTTGCTGAAGCAGTAACACTTTAGCACCTTACATAAGTCTTTCTGCCAAAGAAGAGGACTCTAGGTCCTTTCATTGACTACATATGTAAAGAAACCACATCCATCACTACACAAGTTTTTAAGGGTGGTTTAATCTAGTATATTTCTGCTCTAAAACAATGTCACTTTGCATTTTTTTATCAGAGTTGAGATTAGGCAGGAACATGAAAGCTAGCACCATATCTCTTATATAGATTGCCAATTCCTTAATGACCACAAGGAGATAAAAAGTTATAAAACATCATAGCTCCATTTAACATTTACTTTGATACAACTTCCTTAGGTCAAACTCATTGGCACCTGGATACAAATTACATTACAGGTAAAACTCATTGGGAGCTGGACACAAATTGCATTACACATTTCAACAGATTCTTTCAGAATTCCTTTCTTTTCCTGCTGCCCTAGAGTTTATCTCCACTATCTTATCTGAGACACACGCTCAACATTCTATCAACACTGAGCCAGAATAATCTTTTGCACCAAAATCTATAAATAAATTAATAATTAAAAATCAATCAAGAAATAAATTCCTATTATGAAATGTGCTGTACTTTGGAGAGGAATACATCTACAGCTTATTTTTGTAGAGGCAGTCATATTATAAGCACATAAGTAGCAGAGAAATAAACACAAAGCAATTTCTAGAAGCTCATCAAACCTGCAAATTATTTCAAAATTAGAGCAGATATTTCTTACTGATCCTACATAAAGTATGAAAATTTCTATTCTCAAGATTAATTAGGATTTTTAACCAAAATCAGCCAAGCTGCAAGCCATTAGAATAATTTAATTTTAAATTCCAACAAAAACATCCATATTAAGTCCTCAAGTTCCAAAGTCTCAGTAGTTCCACTGTCTTAATGCCAACAAAGTATTATTCAAAACAGCTGTCTAAAAGACAAGTATTTTTTCAGTGAAATTTCAAACGGAGTAACAGAAAAATGTTAAATACTTAAATAATAAAGTTAAATAAATTGATAAATAATAAAGTTAAATATATAAAAACTTATAATCGAAATCACCTTCTACAATAAAATAACAATTCCTGTTGATGTGGGAAGAGCAGCGGACCTGTTTGCCCAGACTTTTGCAAACCACTGGCCACAGCCAGTGTTTCCCACAGCCTTCTCCTGGACAAAGGCAACATACAAACTGGATAGGTGGTCTGCAAGATGGGTACAAAAACTGATGCACAGGCCACACTCAGAGAGTGGTTTTCACTAAGGCTGGCAGCCTGTCACAAGCAGAGTTCCCCAAGAAATTGTGTTGGGCCCCACACTGTTTAACATCTTCACAAAAATTCTGGATGATGGATCTGAAAACACTCTCACCAGGTTAGCTGTTGAGGTGGACACATCAGAAGGGAGAGGCATCTCAGAGACCTGGACAGGCTGAAAGGGTGGGGCAGGCAGGAGCAGCGCAAGGTGCAGCAGAGACAAGGGCACAGTCCTGCGCCTGGGGTGACACCACCAAAGGGCCCAGCATAGGCTGTGACCTGCGTGTCTGGGGAGCACACGGAAGCTCAGGGGACAATCTCTTGGCCGTGACTCACTGGTGTGGCACTGCAGCACGAAGGCAAATCAGAGCCTGGGCTGCAGCTGCGGGGGCACTGCCGGCAGAGAGGCACGGAGCGGATCAGCGCGCTCCGGGCACAGCTTGGCGGGCAGCGCCTGCGGGAAGCACCGCGACTCCTTCTGGTCCTCACAGCTCAAGGAAGACACAAAAATGAACAAAGGGCTGCAGAACCTGCCCTGTGAGGAAAGACAGAAGGAGCTAGGCCTTTTCAGGGAAGAGGAAAGAGAACCTCATCACAGTGTTTCAGTACTTGAAGGGCATCTACAAAGAACACAGAGCTGCTCTCCTCACAAGGAGCCACATGGCCAAGACAAGGGCCAGTTGGTGTTAGATATCTTTATCTAAGCTCCTTGCCCTGAAAGAATGGACCAGATGAACTTTCTGGGACCATTACAACTTGGGTTCTTCTGTGATGGTATGATATAAATTTGAAAAGCCGAGAGTAATATATGAGGAAATCAAGTCCCATGTCTGAGAACTTCTGCTAACTAAGGTGAACACACGTGAAATCAAATGGTATTCTTCCAGAAACTTTATGTTTTCTATATTCAAATCTTATTTTCAGGCATATATTTTTCTTCTCATCTACCACTCTAATCTCATCTAACTCAAACTCAATGAGTTTTGACTAGACTGAGAGGAGGAATAGATGTATCCAAAATAATTACATTTCTACTAGTTTGGTCAAAACCAGCTAAGAATCATTGGTCCAACTCTATTTTATGGGACCACTGTACTAGATCTTTCGTGTACTGGTCATTACACATCACCCCAGGCAAACTATTGCACAGGCCAGCTCTAACTGGGCAATGAGACTAGAGCAGAACAAAAAAGTAAGTAGGCAATATCATAGTAGGAGTTATTAGGTATCCAGAATGGACTGAGTTAAGTATTTTAAGAAACAAGAAAGCACCTGGCATTGCTGCAACAGGGTGTTAAGGATACAGGATACAAATCTAGTGGACAGTGGAATTTACAAACCCTGCTGCTCACTAAGCAGCTTGCTTTCACATAAAAAGAACCACTCCCATGAAATAATGCCTTTGGAATTTTTTTCCTGTCAAGATTTTTCTGTTCAGATTAAACAAGTTATATTTTGATTCCTGTGCTAACATGAGTCACTTTGACATTCCACAGAGTAAATGGAAATGCTACCCATATATCTCATTTTTCAATAATATTATAAACACCAACCTTAAATCAGTTTGTGATGATGGCAAGGAAAACTCAGTGTTTGTTCCAACAGAAGCTTTTTGTTTGAAGGACTGTTGTTTAACTTCCTGCCAGCACCCCACAGCAATAGTGAAGGTGGATGCTGGCATTGGCATAGACACATAGTAGTACCAGCTCAAGATACCTGTAAACAACAAATTTGTACAGACTCATGAGTCTTACAGCACACATTAGATACTTGACATTTTCATGCACTTGAGATTTTGGGCCAAACCTTCCACCTTACATCCTGGTATTTTTGTGGAGGAAATAAAAGTAATTGCATCGAGATACATAAGAACAGTTGTATGTAACCACCATGGATTCTGTGTTCTTTTTACTTACACCTGCAACTTTGCTCTAACTGCTGATGTCTTTACCTGTAAATAAATCATTCATAAGTGGGATGTTTTTAATGCAACTTAACATGATTGTACTGTTACTACCCAAGAATTACATCAGACATGAAATCTAGTAACACCTTTAAATACATACACATACACAAAATATTCAAATATAACTTTTTCAGCCTTGTGTCTACTATCTTATAATTTTGTCCTGCTTCTACTATTATTTCACACAACCCAAAACCTTTCCTTTGTGTTCTGGGCAGTACCAAACTGATAGGCAAGTTCTAACATCAAATAACACTAATGTTTGTGAATTGGACTCAGCTATTTGAGGTATGTAATACGTCAACAAGGCAGTAAGAAATCAAAGCATAGACTCAGATGAGATATTACCTAAGTCAGCAACTTGGTCATGTTACCCCATGAAAGTGCTAAAACAAGACAAGAATCTATTAGAAGGTAAAAATATGCTAGGTTTTATCATTATGGGAACACAATATGAGGAGATAAGGAGTATGGCATAGGATTGCTGTATGAACAAACCCATTTTTATAAGGTGGATGTTTAAGAACAGCATACTTTTCATTAATACAAATGTTGCTTAGATTTTCTGTTTATCCCTTTAAAAAGGATATAGTTTAAGAATCACATCCATGTATTAATTAATGGTCATAATACAGTTACTACACCACACTAATAGATTAATTATCTTGAAAAGAGCCTAGCATGAGTTACAATCTGATGAATCATGTGCAAATGACTGTAGCTAGGGCAACATGAAAACATACAAACTTCAGTTATTTTGAGAGAACCTTAGTACTTGTTCTTTTGCAGAAGTATTCTGACTAGGACTATGGAACACTACCAAAAGAGAAAAAACCCACAACTAAGTGGAGACCACAAGGCACAGAGGAAAGGAAATAGACAACTGCTGCAAAGCATCATTTGATTTCATACCTTAATGACCTAAGAAGCTCAGGCTGTCTAAAGAAAGGACAAAGAAAAAAATCTTTAGTTTAGCCTCAACAAGTTTTCCACCTCCTATTTAGTATGACAAAACAATACCATTTGTGAAGTCTTCTGAGGCAGATAAAGTCTTTGCCTCTTATATGCACTAGAAACCACTTATACTCCTTCACCCCATGCCACTTTAGGCAACATCCATCAAAAACCTTTTGTCAGTATTGTCAGGTGAACATATATTACTCCTGTAATCTTCCTAAGCTTCTGTCAGTATGTAAGCAGAATGGATTTATTTGCTCCAAACACATTAGGAATTAGGAGGATAACTTTGCCAAATTTCACTCTGCCTTTTGTTTTTTTATTATTATTAACTTAACAAAGCTACAAATAAGCCAAGACAAGCAAATGTCACCTTGAGAGAAAAAGGTCATCCACAGCAGCAACAATATATTATTTCAGAATGCCAAATTCCTGATGTACAGAGTTTCATTGATAGACACTGTACTAACGGCCCAAGCCTACACAGACTGTAGTTAATAACAACTTTGCCATTAACTTACACACAAACAGGACAAAGTTCAGAGGTTCTGCACTTAGTACTGCATCTAAATGCTATAAAGCATTACTAAATGCTCCATGTAGTTATGTTAATTGTAAAAACTTAGGAATTAAATAACATCAGAGAAAATTGTAATTGAAAAACTGTCATGTTTTCAACTATGTTCTGAAAAAAGCACAGAAGTCAAAAAGCAGTCACAGGAAACTGTTCCAAATGGCACAAGGTATAAAGGAGAAGGCTCTCACAACTGTGAGATTGTCTAAAAGGAAAGGGTGTTGGCCTGTACTAGGTAGAGATCAGAGAGGGTTACAGTGAGAAACAAGTTTAGTAAGACAGGCTAGAACAAGCAAGAGGGTTTTTTTTTCTAAAAAACACTCCACAAAGAGCTTGAACAGAATGTCTAAATGGCATGGCAATCAGATTAGCAGTCCAGAGAGAAGAACAGCATGTACTGCATTCAGAAATCTATACAAATTAGCAAGGAACAGAACATTTACAGCTGACCCGATGCAAAAAGAGTGAAGGTACCAACTTTACTTTGCAAGGATTTTAGAAATTATGTGAACTATGCATCCTCCCAGAGAAAGATCCAAGTTTTATAATGTCTCTGTATATCTACACAGGGCTCAGTCCAATTCCTGCAGTGCTTTTTGATGCCTTCTGCATTCATATTCAAGAATTGTGTAGAATACCTATATATTTATCCTACAGTTGTTGACTGAAACCACACGCATGGCCATGACAAGTGAGTTCTCCCTATAGAACCATAGAATCCTTCAAGTTGGAAAACAGTGTATTTAGTGATTAGTGACTGAAAAGGTCTTTTTGCTGGCAGAAGTTCTCTCTGGAGAGAACCATGAAGCACTGTCTCAAAGACAGCTTAACTAACTTACTGACCTTATGTCTTCTCTCACTACTGGTAAGATTGTCTCCCAGCCTGACCTCTCCCATAACTTCACTTCCTTCCTTACACTGTCTTCACGTCAGTGGGATTTGTTTTGTTTTCCTTCATCTGTATCCTCTGATCTATCTCAGCACATAGATTGGGATCACAAGCTTAATTCAACTCCTTTTTGCTGCTGTCCCCATCCTCTGGCTGCATTGTGCTTTTCAGCGTCAGCCTTGGAGACAGCTCCATCTCTAGGATAACAGAAAACAGCGCAGCTGAAACGTGGCTTTCTTTACCAAACACAGCATTTTGTACCATAAAACCATCTTCAGACTGAGTGAGTACACATTAGGAAAAACAAGCGGTTGGGCTGGGATTAGTCCATGGGAAAATAGAAATAGATCACCTCAGTCCTTGTACTTGTAAGGTAATTTTAAAACAACTTGATTCCTACGCATAATTCTTTTAGGAAAGTATAATATATTCAAAACATTTTGTTATTTTCCCTACCTGTAATTCTGAAAAAAATTATTTTTTCAGTTCTGCAAAGCAAATTTATTGTGTCATAACTGCACTAATCATGCACCAACAATCAGCTATTCTATGAGTTAAAAGTGAAAAACTTTCCATGCAAATGTTTAACAAGAACAGGAAATTTTAATCTATTTATAATTGTGCAAAAGAACAATTTAAAGATCGTTTATTTCTCCTACTTGAAATAATAATGATGAATGATGTAATTACTTCCTAGAATTTTTAATGCATTCAGCTATCTTTGAAATCACTAAAATTGTTTGAGTCTTGTAGAGTTCATTATAACTGAAAAAAATGCCAAAGCTCTATCTGCTAATGCCAGATGCAAGTACATTATGAACATTTTTACTTAGCAGTATATTTTTTGTCAAATAGTGTGCACTAACACAAACACAACAAAACACACCTGATGTTTACTATTTACTAAAACCCACAAAGTTCAACTACCTCTATGGAAAAGGAGAAATAGCCCCACACAGCAACAGGCATTCAAGATAAGAGCTAGTGCTAATATATAAACATGCAGCTAAATAAGTAGTTATGTAAAAACTACTCTCTGGCTGGAGCCACCAGGATTAAGAATGCTCCAGCTTTCAGAAACTCTTTGTGACTTGTAGGGATTTTTTGACCTCATCTGAAAACCAGAACTCCCCTCAGAGCTCCCTCACATTCATGCCAGAGCATTAGTTCAGCACTGAGTCACAGGGATGAGTAGCGTGTGACAAGCTCTCAACTACCACGCTGTAGACCCTGATACATGCTGGAGATCAGCCAACACAAGTACTGCACTCTTTTGTTTTGCCTTGTGGAAAGCGAGGAGCACAAGCAAAGACAACTGTTGCTGCTAACTACATCACAGGAGCAGTGGCCCTTCTAGAACTCTATTTTTTCTCAGTACCAGTGTACTCCTCACTTACAGTGCAGGTGTCAAAACAAGATCAGGGGTTACACAGTAGTAGAGTAACCACACAAAAAGCGAGCCAGTCTGTTTCACACTTAATATCTACTGAATATGAATAGAACAAATAAAAAGATGTTTGTGACTAAATGTATTCGCAGCTTATATGTGTTATAGTAACATGCTGAAGGAAAGTAAAACTGACAAATGTAGAGAAAAAAAATCTAATGTTTAAATGGCTCACATTACACACATATGTAACGCTCCCTCCCCATCAAGCTTTCTCCCAAAGGGCATTATTAATTGCATTTTTCTGATCAACTTCTCTAAGTAGTCCATAAAGAATGCAAGGTATTTGAAGCACTTTTGGTCATACTCAAATAGTTACCGTTTCTATTTGTGTAAGTATTCTATCACTATTTTTAAATAAACGTGGGCTCCCTCTATTTCAAATGACGATCAGCCACAGTTTTGTAGGAGGCAGAATGCAAAAATGGCACATTGGGAGGAAACAGACTCTTGCCAAAACCTGCAAATACAAGTGGTAAATGAGGAATCTGCATATAAGAGTACACCTAGCCCACCTATGCACTGGATTACTGCATCTGTACATGTAGAGATGTATGTCTGTGAAGCAGAATGCAGATCTCTAAAAGCTTGAAGGAATCAGCTTTGCTTGATGTTCTCTTACTGTCTGCCTGTACACTGGATTTAAATATGACTCTTAAAGGAAAAAAAATTCAGCTAACTTGTAATTCTATTCAAAATAAATTTATTCACAACTGCTTACCAAAATGCTAATTCTTTCCAACAAATTGCATTTTTTAAAAATAGATTTTATTATTCTGCCAGTTATGTTTGATAGTATAAATATTTGGCACAGCAATAGTATACATACTGTATGTAAACAACTTGGCAAACTTATTTAAATTGAAACTACCCTGGAAGGCTTTCTGTTGTTTAAAGACCAAATTTTAAACTGGATACATTTCATATACCTTCCAGAACTGCCAAACAACAGGATCTATGTGGACAAGTTATTTAATACAACAGAACATTTCAAGCTTTTTAACTCTTAGGGGTTCTATTAATTAAACTCATGAATTTGTATTCCTAAATTCATTGAGAATTTATCCAAGGCTTCTGATTAGCACTCAAATATTGGGTTTACTTGGATTTTAAAACATTCCTCAGAATATTACTCCTTTACCTTTTTGCATCTGTATTAGTTTTGTAAATTTTCACAATTCCAAACAGCTTCCTGGTTTTTCATTTCCAGCTGTATGTAAGCAAGAAAATGAGGGTCTCTCATTAAACTAGTTAAACACTGATGGAAAAACTGTTATCCTAGTCTGAAGTCAGTACCTTTGCTTTCTTGATGCTGAGACAGGAAAGTATTATTCTCCAAGGGAACTGAGCAGCTCATCATGGCAGTTTTCCATATTTCAGAGCAGAGACAAGCCTTGAAAGAGGCCCCATATATGGCCAAATATAACCAGACAATTCCATGAAAATGGATTAACTGATGATCCTCAAATCAAGACTTTCTCTTCTTTTTTTCCACTCAAGAATAAACCTGCCTATTTAAAGGAGAATGGAAGATATTTTTCCCCAGAAAAGCTTAATTCTAACTTTATCTTACATGCTATGTCTCATCAGAACTACTCACACTAGAAAATACTGACCCAGTTTGACAGATTATATCAAAACTCATGAGAATAAGATTCACTTCATTATATGTAGAACTTACACAAGCCTTAAAAACTTCCTTCTCTGTGCAGAAAGAAGTTTAGGCAATAAAGTATAACCAACACAGAAGAAATCCTTTTTTGCTTACTGTTGAAAAAGATGCAAAAAACCACCATGGAGATCAGATTTTCGGGGCACTGACCTGATATTCCATGTATTCAAGGCAACACATATGGCACTATGGCTGCTTCAAATCACATACTGAACTACACTCAGACTGGAGAACTAAAACTGAAAGACAGTTATCTACCAAGGCCTGAAGTTGTTGAGAGCCTGATAAGGTTTGAATCTACAAAACTTGTGTACACTATGATCAAAATAAAGCAAATTTATGAAAAATTAAATCTAGGTTTGGAAATACAGAGGGAGAAAAAAAGCAACACCGTGAAATGCAGAAATGTAGATACTTCGAATACTTATGAAGTATCCTGAGGCCTTGAGCAGGTAACTTTTCCACAGAGATTGACACGGAGATTACAGACAGACATGGAATTGTTATTAAAGTTAGGAACTTCATTCTTTCACAGATCACTTATTTACCAAGCTCAATTTCTAATTATAAAAGTATGGAAAATAATTTGTCTTGAAAAATGTATTTCACCTGCTCGAAGCTGGACTGGTTCTGCTGAGTTTTCACCACTCATTAACACAACAAATCCTGCAGCTGTTCGAACTGAGGCTTGCCATGTTGACAAGGCAATGGGTGGTTCTTGGCATGGAAAGAGGGCTCTGTTGTTTATTGGTGATCCCATTGTGTAAACACATGGCCTAGATGGAAAGAAAAGAGATTGACGTTGGAATGACAATAAGAAAGAATGAATTAAATTCTACATAAAAAATTCAAAGATGCTGTTGTACTGAGGTGGTTTCTTTCTTTAACTTCAGCTCTGCAAGCTCCAAACCTGTATGACATGAACTAATGAAAGTACAATCTAAGCCATTTAAGGTAAGAAAAGCAAGATTACTATAATACCTTCAAACTGGAAAAGACTAACTCCAGTCATTTCCCTCTCCTGTTTTTGCATGAGTCTTCCAGCCCCATAAAACAGCTTCCAGTTGCACCCATAAGGTCAAAGAAGGCTTCTGAGTATCTTCTGACTATGCCATTGCAGGGCTTCACCAACATCTGTGACACCTCCCTGCTATCATTCCAGTAGTGTTTTCACTATCATGAATCCAGTCTCCTGGATTAGCAGCCTGGAGGCTCATGCAAAATCAGAAGTAGATCTAGTTTTGAGTCTTCCTTAGTCCAAGCCTCAATAAATCCTGGCATTTTTACATTTAATCTTAAAGGTAGTGCACCCTAGCTCACGTGTCTTTGGGAATTGCAGCCACAGGGCATATAATAATTAATTTCTATCCTGTTAGCTTTAGCCTCCTTCTTTCTTCCTACATAACAATCTTCCTTGTAGCACTGCTCTTTTTGCAGTTACTCTAAATCTCTCCCCAGCTGAATCTCTCAGTCTACTACCCGTTTCCAACTTCAGCTGCAATATTTCATGACAGTAAATTTCTTATTAACCATTTAGCTACAGCTGGGAAGGTAACAAGGCCTTTCATTAGCTCCTTCTAACTTGCTATTGCTGGTGGATGAACTTAATGATTCTTGCTTTACTTATTTTGTTCCATTTTGCAGTACTATCTAAATTCCTATTACGTGCATAACACCACCACTTATCTTAAGGAAAAAAAAAGCTAATTTTTCAATTATAAATTATATTAAAAACAACAATCAATAGGTTTCTCCAGTAAAATAAAGAAAGTCCTGAAATTATTACTTCATTACACTGAACTTTTAAAACCTACAATATTTAAAGCTAAATATTATGGGAGCAAAATACACTATTTTGTGAACGCTTGAGGCTAAAAATATTCTGATCCGTATCTTTCATCACTTGAATTGAAAAGTTATCAAAACACTTCAGAAACCAGGAGACAAATTGTTAGGGCAAAACAACTTTGCAATGGCTAAGATCTTAGCATTTTATTTACTCCCCTCCAAACTGCTTTTCCTTTCAAATTATTCCTTCTCTAAAGCCAACTTCAAACTATACAGAGAGAAAGAACTTGGAAATACTGAAAGTCACAGATTAAATCTATTCTGAAGATATTTTTTCCCTCTTGTCATTGCTATCTGTGTTATTGGCACACCCAGAGCTGTCTTGGCACTTTTGAATCATTGTGGCTTAACTACTGCAGGCCAGTTGATCTTCCAGCAAAACAGAGATGAAAGCTGCAGTTTAAGTAGGTCTTACTGTTAATGCACACAGGCAGGAAAAGTAAATAGTCTAACTTCCCCCATCATGTACCAGAGTAAATAGAGTAGGACCTAGACATTGAGTAAAGTCCAGGTAACTGCAGTGGAGAGAATGCCAAGTGGTTATTTCTTAAATAGTAAAACATAATGTACAGCTAAATGCAACAGACCACTAATATGCATGGACTTTTAATTTACTTAGTTAGAATTAAACTCCTAAAACTGAATCTGTAAACTATCTGATACACATAGAATAATTGGCTTTTCTCCCATAAAAACAAAGAGTGCATGGCAGTGAGTTCACAGGAAAAAAGAAGAACCTGTTTTTTCACCTTCCAGGAAGACCTGCTTCCCCCTAGTAATGTTAGTCAAGAGCTACTGGGATTATTATTTACCCTAAAACATATAAGTGCTGGGAAGGCATGGAAAGGAAAAAGGAAAGGTGGGATTAATGACTGCTGCTACACACATTTTCCTAATGATTTGCCATGGACTGTAAAGGCTGTTTTGCCAGGTGCCATTGGTGCAATCCACTCTTACAAGCAGTATAGGTGATCTTCATATTCTGTACAGAGAAATGACACAATGATAGAGAAAACTGGCTGGCAGAACAGTGCTAAACTAAATGTTATAATGCTGTCTCAAATACAATATAAATATTACAAAGAATAGATGCTACCAAGAACATTTATGTCCCCTGCTCTCAGAGAGCGCCTTTACCTACAGACCATAAGGGATTTTACAGATAATGTCAACACCATTTTGCAGATGGGGAAAATGAAACTCAGTGAACAGATATGTTAAGTGCTAGCACTCAAGCTGCTCCCACAGGCCTCCTAGTCCAGTAGCTCCAGTTCTAAGCCTCCTAGTCCAGTAGCTCCAGTTCTAAGCCTCCTAGTCCAGTAGTTTTTGTTTTTTTTTTCCCCTAAGACATTTTAATGCCAAAATATACACACAGAGGAAGGTCACAAGTCTCTACCATAAAAGCCCAAGTAGAAAGTGAGTTAGATAAGTGGAGAAAGACTGGTCACGTACATAATCTGTTCTTCAGAAGTAGAAGTGTTCTTCTTTCCACTCCTCACCCATTCTAATACAATTTTTACCAGGGATATTTATTAACTTCATTATTCTCCTAAACATACCCAATTATGTCAGTCTGCTAAAAAAAAACAGTAATGAAATAGACAAGTTCTAAATTTTTTAAGGAAACTATCAGAAGAACAATTACGTCAGCCTTTATTTAGATATTTGTTGTACCTCTTTTACAGTGGTAATTTCTTTTTAAAGTATTGGTAATCATGGAGTGTTACTTTAGGATATCCACTGCAGCTGACAACAGTCTTTGTTTGGGGTCAGGCGGCACAATTTCAGCACACAAGAGGACCAGAAATATAATTCTTATTCTGGTATCAATCAGTTTCTTCATTTGACCATGGGGAAAAAAACAGCCAATCTAAGCACATGACAGAGCAGCAAAGAAAAATAATTCGGTTTAGTCTCTGTTTGTCAATTGATACACGTATTTGCCCTTTTTTAATAATTTATCTCTACCTCTCCTAGCAAGAAACTTCACAGTTCCTTTCCTCTTTCTACTACCTTTCCTCTTTCTATCCTTTCCACCCCAGTTAACTTTTCATGATCTTGTAATACTCAAATAATCTACTTATGTAATATTTTTGCCAACCATAACCTTTGCCATGATAGGTTTCAAGAATTAAGGAAATTTCATGCAGCAAAAGGTAAGCAGAGAACTCAGAATATTTATTGAGTTATTTGTAACACTGGAAGAACAAGCATCCACAAAACAATCACAAAACACAGGAGTGACATTTCTGGTCACTCCTCTGGACAACTTTATGACAAGTAAACAAAAAATAAAAATAAACAAAAAAGTAGGCAAACCCTGAGTACAAAATGAATGGATTTGATATTCCTGGAAATGTAGAAGGCAAGAAACAAATATTTGTAAAAAAATTAAATTATGTCCTCTGAATCAGTTGTCCTAACTAAAAAGAAGACCATGAGAAAAATGGATAAATATTCCCAAGCAAACAGCCATCCAGACTACTGGAGAAATCAAGTACTAGTTGTGGTAATGTCTGGTTTTGCCCCAAGAAGAGACCAGAGACTGTCTGTTGTTCAGTAATCTCCCTGATGAAGATTTGATTAATGCAATTGTAACTCATCAGTAGTCCACATATCTTTACAACTCAGCAAAATCAGTTCAAACCAGCTCTTGGGAGATCTCCCTCTCCCATGTAAGCCTATCCATTATAATAATGAATTAACACGATCTTCAAGCTAATAATAAATGTTCAGTTGATAATCTGTTCTCTAAACAGGAATCTGCAGGTCTTGAGATGCCTGCCATAAAACACCTGAAACATATTCTAAGGCTCACCCATGTCAACCTGCTTTGCCTAATGTCTGAAGCTTTGTCAAGGAAAATGCCCAGCTCAGAAACTCTACCCCTTTCTCGTATTTGAAAAATTACATTCCCTATTCCTGCAAAAGGAAATTCTGTTCCTTTCTCCAGATTACATTGTTGAAGCAGCAGGACTTCCTGGCATCTAAATGACAAGAACTTTTTACTCTGCCCTATCAATTTACGTATCTGCAAGTTTCCAGTGACTGTCATCAGATTCCACTAGACCAGGTATTCTTGTTTACGTTCTACTGTTGAAAAAGACACCAGTCAGTAATACCCATGTTTCTCACCGCCTTCCTTTAAGTTATGACAACTAATTCACAGGACAGAATTTGTATTTTATACAAATATTGGCTTGCTGCCTTCCACATTTCAGGTATATCAAATCCATTTACTTTGTACTCAGGGTTTGCCTACTTTTTTTATTTGCTTTGGTTTTTTGTTGGTTTTTTTTTTTGTTTGTTTGTTTGGGTTTTTTTGTTGTTGTTGTTTGTTTGTTTGCATGGGGTTTTTTGTTTGTTTGTGCTTTTTGGGGTTTTTTTGTGATTTATTTTTCTTTGTTTTACTTTTCCATTTTATTAATATAATTTGTCAGTCTTTAGAAGTCATTGCATATCACATGAATAATCCAACAAACTTCAAAATACTTCATTAATTCGTCAAATATTTATATTCCCATGTTCCTATTACTGGGAACAAAATAAACAAAATAACAGTAGAGATTCCCCACAGCTGAGGAGATCCTCTTAGGATTTGGTCCATGGTGACCTACCATGGTTCTGGACTACCTTACTCTACCAAACCTTGCCCATGAAGAAAACCAAATTCTTTATTCCCTTCCTGCATTTCCAGTTCCCAAGAGCACAGAACAATGCTAACTCATACCACCGAAAAACCAAACATCTATTTTCATGACACATTTTATAATTTGTAGTAAATAACTCCACCTTCCAAATCGACCTCATCAGTATTTTCCAAACACATCTTATTCCCTTCTATTCTCTTCCTGCCTCTACTTACTTTCAATTAGATTACTTCCCTAATATGCCTTATGACCCAGCTGTACACACACCTGTGTCATCACACCAGTGATGGAAGGAACCAGTTTAGAGAGGTCAAAAGTGTCCCTTTCAACAAGTGTATTTTGGTAGGCGCCCTGGTCATACCTTTATACTTTCTCTCCTTCCCTCCTTCCATTAGCACAAGTCAGCTCTGTCATTGCTTTTTTTGTTTGGCCTAAAAAACTTGGACAGGGAAATGCTGAAATTCCATGTGTTCAGTTCCTCTACTAAAAACAGAAGTGTGTCCTGCTGTGATAACATGTTTGTAGTTACATATCTGATCTTGCCTAAACTCATCTCACAAAGCTTTGTTTCAGTTGTGTCTTTTTGTGTATTATAATACATCATTCTTTAAAACAAATAAAGTGGAGCTCTTGATAAAATTGTGCATAGGCTAAATTTCAAAACATTGTACTAGTGTTAAATTACAGGAAACATTGGAAGTGGTTACACAATGTGTGTACTTTGTTATTTACTTTTCTCAGGGTTGGAACCACAGTATAGACTCCTTTGGCAAACAATTTGACATCTGAAAAAAAAAAAAAAAGCACTAGATACATAATTTGGAACAATCTGAAGAATCCTCCTATGGCAATATGAGATTTACCACTATGTTTATGAGCTCATCACATATAGAATTTGATTTTAAAAAGATACCAAGAAATATTCTAATGATTATGCTATGAAAACTTATTTTCTGACAGGCATTAGGTTTTGGAATAGCCTACACAGGCCTGATAATAAATCAGTTTGTACTATTTTATACCATCAAACTGCTGGATCCATGTCAAGCCTGCTTTTTCTGCTCCATTACTGATCCATAAAATTCCATCCATTAGTGTACAACTGCCATGAAATGTCACTAAAGTAAAAACAATGTTTTGCAGTGAAAGGCTTATAAAGAGTCAAAACTGTTCATGATTTAGATGCTTAAAAGAAACATTCAAATGTTCAAACCACAGAGAGGAGTCCTATACCAGCCTAACACTAGTTATTCAGGCAGGTGGACATAGACATGTGATCATGGGCAAATGCTCTACCTTCTTATGCAGTCAAAATTCAGAATTTTCAGATATAAGGGTAATATATCAAGTTAAATTTCCTAAACTCATACCAAAAATAACTCCTCAAGGAGTGAGAAAAGGAAGGGAAAGAAATAATGAACACGACTGAGACATTTCGCTGACTTGATGGTGCTTACAGATTAGTAGCAGAATTCCCTAAGCACCACAACTACAATCAAAAGGCCTCATTTTCCTCACCAACACAGATGCTAGTGAAAATACTTAATTTATATTAATATAACTGAAATAAAAGGCAACCATTTATCTCTTGACTAGGAAAGAAAAGCATGTATTTAATTAGGTCACATTTGTTCCTTATCTTCCAACTTTGTTCCTGCTTTTTAGACATCAGAAAGAAATAATAGCCATTAAAATCCACCTTTCAACATTCCAATAAAACAATTACTGTTGTAAAAGTCAAGAGTATATTGTAGTTTCCCTTCTATAAAAGACTTATATTGAAGATTCCAGTACAATACCATGTCCTTTTCACTAACACTAAATATAATGCCAATTCTTCTTTCAGTTTGCAGTTCATTTGCTATCATCAATGTTCTTAACATTATAGATGAAGAAGACTTTGAAAGCTGATTATGAGGGACTAAACAGGAAAAGACTGTATTTCTAAGCTGATTACAATATTGATAAAGGACTAATTGTAAAGTAATTCTATTAAATGTTATGTATATTGAACTTTATGCTGCGTAAGCCAGGAAGCAAAAAGAGCACGAAGTAACCTGTCATTCATACCTTTTCTTTCCCTAAATGACAATTCCCCATTCCCTGCACACACTTATTGAAATACACACAAGTTATTTACTCCCACTCAAAAAGAGCAAACACAATCACTAAGACAGGCCTGTGATCTTCAAGTCCATTAGGGTTTCACAAGCAGAGAGATTGTCTGTTCTTCTACAGGACAACAAAAGGAATCAAACCAAAGATGAAATTAAAACCGTGGAACAGTGTAGTCATCATCTTCATAGTTGCTCAGCAATTTTATGATTCTCCATTTTTGCACCTATTTAAATTCATTGCATACAAAGCTTTCAGCAAACAGTTACATACCTGCCACTCTGGTCTGTAGTCCATGTAACAGATCTTCCCTCTGGCTTGGTTTTGTACCATATTCTTATTGCATGAGGAAAGTCCGCTGGAGTCTGAATTCCTGATTTCCTTATCTCCAAGCTCCAGGTGCCAGTACTAAACAGAAGCTCCCCACAGCCAGGTGCCTGGCTACAGTGAGTAAAATAGTATAGCTGTTCCTTCCAGCGATCTGCAGGTAAAGTCACAAGTTCATGTACAATCCGATTCCTGAGATTTTCCAGCTCCTTTGAAACACCAGTTGGCTTGGCAGACCTTGTAAATATTTCAATGCCTGACACAGCAGCAACATCTACCTCTTCAACCTTTAGCACAGATAAATCACAGCAATCCAATACCAGCAGAAAATCCTTGTTTTCATGATCCTCTATGTCACAGCAGTCCTTTGAACCAGAAATCCCAGAAGCCTGTTCATTGTTGCTATGGTTACTATTTTCATCAGAAGTAGCTTCCTCTTTACCACTGTCAGCAAAATCATTACATTCCGTTTTAACATTTGTCATAGGAATGTGGCAGGGTTCAGATGCCCCCATTTTACAGGTTTCATCAAACTGTGATGGGCAGCATTCTTTGCCAGCACTGCTGGTTTTCCTGTACTGGCTCCCAGTCTCAAAGAACAAAACTATGCTGCCTTCAATAACTTTACTTTTAAAATCCACATCCAAGTCCAATACATAGTGCTTTACAAGCATGTAGCTAGTGTTTGCCATTAAAGGCAAATCATCCTTCATGGGGTCTAGCTGTGTCTCCATGTTCACCTATTGGGCAACAGTTTTACAAGGCCTTGGACAGTTCTGACATATGATGACTCCAGAAGGAGAACATTTAGTCTCCAAGTGCTAAAAATAATTTTGAGTAAGATTAAAATATTGAAATTGTAGTTTATCTGCTTCTTGAACTCTAAAAAGAAAAAAAAAAAAAATCATCTCACAACCATTTCTGAAATGCACCGATTCTAAATCTATTTAAAGTCCAGCTGCCTTTATTACAGTAGTACTGCTAAAGGGTGATTGTATCTCCACACAATGGCATCAGGCTAGAATGGCATCTGCTTGCTTCAGGATTTTCTGTCAAGGACCAGCGGCTGTATTTTTCACATAAAAACTCAAATACTTTCATTTGAATTGTTCTTTCAAAGAAGAACTCAAATGAAAGTATTTCTAGACAGCTTCTGTAAATCAATAGAAACAACCAAAAGTATCAAAAAGATAGTGATATATTTCTGCTGTGATTTTAAATAACAAGTCTAAATCACCTTACAGGTCTTAAATGTTTAGAGTAATAAATTCCTATATACAATGCTTGCCCACAGTTTAATATACTTTCCATATTACAACCACTCTCATATCAGCACTTACAAGAAAATGAGCCAATTTACAAGGACTGCATTCCAAGTATTCCTTTGAGATTGCTCATGAAGTGTTTTAAAATCTTAAATATCTGAGGTATATAATTACATTTTTGTAGCTGGAAACTCATAACACTCAGAATAGCGCCTTACAGAAAACAAAGTCTTTTCACTGGAAAATATGTAAATCCCTATAAAGGCACAAAAATACTAAAATGCACCATTTGCTGCAGCAATAGGCAGAAATTCATAACAAAGTTGAATGGACATGGATTCTCTGTTTTGCTATGACCATTGAGCCAAAGTCATGCAGTTTTAGCCCACTTAAGTTGTTTCTATTAGCTTTCTAGATGAGGAATATATATCAGAGGATGAAATACAGACAGTTCTCTCCCTAGCATTTCAGTGACATATGCAGCCAGGCCTGTTTCTAACTGCCTTAAGAGAACAGATATTCCATTGTGACATGCACAATCCATTTCACCATTTTACACTTCATCACAGACTTCACTAGCCAAAGCCAATTTTAATATAGTTCTCAAATTCATCACAGAGGAGAACTCAGACTCCCCAAACACTTGCTATATCTTTTTTTGTAGGAATCCAGGGCACGCTATCAAGCTACTACCATTACATGAAAGGCTCAGGGCAAGAAACTGACCATATAGTTCCCTCAACTAGTTTCACACAAAGCACAAAAACATAGCACCTATCTCCCTACCTCAGTGGCTTTCTAGCTGTCAGACACAGCTCTTTCAGGGCTGTCTTTCATGGCAAGCTGAGAAAAACTTTACTTCGAATTTTTAACAATCTTTCAGTACTTCTGCAAGCATACCGAGGCAACAAGCTCACATCAGAAGGTTCTTTCACTGAAATAGCTCAGTAAATTCAGGCAACATAAGCAATGCATCTATGATGTCTGTGTGTAATGCTGTGGACTGAACCTGACATTACCTGCATTTTTTTCTGACTACCAAAACCTCTTGACTGCTAGCAGGTCAAGTAATTGTTGGTGATAGATTAAAGAAATAGAGTGACTTGGTAGGGAAAAACCCAACACTTAACTAATACTCAAACTCTGTTTTGCACAAACACATTTTTAATTTGCAAATATTTATAATATAATACTGACAAATTTTATAAAACGTGAGTACTATCCTATGCACACAATTGTAGGGAGGAGAGGCCAGCCTTGGGATAAGGCAATTAGGGAAGATTACCTGCTATATTCCAGGTCCTGACTGGGTGTGTACAGCAAATGTAGGCAGTCTCTCCCTAGAGGGGCATGAAAAAAAGACAAGCAAAAAAATCTATGCTGTCTTGTAAATACAACTATCCTCCATGCATTCCAAGGCATTACACCGAGATAATTTTCTAAAAAATAGATTGGTTTTTGTATTCTGTAGAGATGCTTTGTTGTGTTACTGAACAGAAACACTAAATGAAAAGGGAATGAGAAAACAAAGAATAAGAACAGAAATATACAATGTTAAGTACAAGTATACCAAAATATACTCCCAGGAAACAGCGTTCTCTGTCATTGTCATGAACAGCACTGCTAATTTTATGACATTCATTTATTCATTTATTATTTCATTTATGACATGGACAAACGCTTGTGTCCCAGACAAAATGGGTATCTACTTCTCCTTCAATCTCTAGTTGGCTTATCAAATATTGACCTCAACCACCTTGGGAAATTACCAATTTTATTCAAGAAGAAAATACAGGAATGAACTGTTTATTTGAATGCTGAAATAGACAGAGGACACTAAAATAGACAGCCTTTTATTATCAAGGAAAAAGTAAAAGATAAGGATACTGAACGACCATGCACACAACCTTTGTAGCAATGAAACAACACAGGAATCACATTAAAGCAAACCTGAAATAAAGCCAAGTGAAAAAAACATGCAAGCAAAAAAAAAAAAAAAAAGGTAAAGGAAGGATGCACTCCAGCAAAAGAGGACAAAAATTACAACAAAATGCAGTATCAGAGTTAAAAGATAATGAACTTTTTCACAAAATTTTTAAAGGACCATTCTCAGAACACGTAACTGAACAGGAAAAAATTATTTATATGTACATATTTTGTTACATTTGTTTGAAGTCTAGGTATCTGTACATTTGCTTTCAATCAGTAATGCTAGTTCAATGATGTTGTAAAACAACATCCTGATCCTTTGTTTGAAATTTAGCATCTACACATAAACTGTCCCTCATTGGTCTAACATGACCAAACCACTGAGATGATATACAGAGAAAGTGTGTGTGCACTCATAAAAGACAAAAGTTGTAATGACAGGTACTAGGGACTGGTGAGAGGGAAAAAGGTAGCTTTGATAAGGTAGCAACCTTATCAAATATGTAAACCCCCTTCTCTTCTTTGTATAGACTGTGATGTCTCTTCATAAATACGTGATAACTTGGGGGGGTTTAACTGAACAGGCTGTAAATAATGATTTTATTTACCATTTGATTCCACCTGCATTTGAATAAATATAACTTCATGGTGTCTTTTCTTCAAACAAGTCTTCCCAAAAATTGTAAATAAATCATAGGATTATTATCCCTCCAACACGATTACTACTGCTGGTAGTAAAATACCGGTAGTACTACTGGTACTAAAATACAGCCTATCAAAATCCTAGGCAAAATCAACAGGAGCTGCAATGCAATACAAATCTGCAAGTCAAGCCTAGGTAAACAAATGAAGGATTATTTCCTACAAAGGAAGAATTATTTCCTACATTTTTTGTGACAAATTAAATAGACTGAGATGGAGTGTAAAAAACTTAACTCCCAAACTGTGTACAATCGTATAAATAATTCAGTCTAGCATTTGTCATTCATTCTGTATTTCTTTTCATTTTTCCTTCATAGGTTAAGAGAACAAACTCTAATCATGGTGTTGATATATTACAGGAAACATGTTACCTCACCTTCTGAAGCAAAAACCTTACTGTACACCTTGAAAGCTCTCTGTACATATTTGAGCTTTGTGTATGCAAACAGTACATCTTTCACTACTGCTTCATAAATATGCTGTTCTGAGAAATATTCTTTGAATTTGGTACAATAAGTTGTTCACTATCTTACACATATATCAAGGTACTGGCATCAAAGAGACATTTTTTGACATTTCTTTTGAAATACGTCTCTTATTCGACATTGTCTTCTGTAATATTTTTTGCTACATTATGCCCATAATATGAGTATCTGGTTTTCATTTCTATGCAATTAATGCATTTCAACATTAGCAAAAGAGGTTCACTAGCTGAACTCCAGGCATGGAAAAAAGCAAATTAGAAATTGTAATGCTGCTACAAAGTCCTGGTGATCATGTCATAAACAGTGTTTCATGTCATATTTCTTTCACACAAAGAGATGTAAAAAAATTACTAGTATATTTTAAAGATAGACCTTAAATTCAATGGATCTTTCCTATTAAATGTACTTTGTAAATACATTTTGTAAGTAATAAAAGTAATAAAATTACAGGGAAAGCTGATTATTTCATTTTACGTTTTAATATTTTAGAAGACAGATGCTCCCAAAAGAATAAACAATAACAGCAGATGGTGGCCAACATTAGTAGAGTCAAACTTGATCAGCAGCACAATAATAGAATTGCATAAAAGACACGAAGAATGGGCAACACAAGTGATATGATCCTTTGGGGAATTATATTTGTATAACATTGTTTTCCACTCAATACAAAAAGCATCAGCCTGAATTAGAAACACAGGTCTCTGAAAGCAAATATGAGGAAAAAAGTTTCCAGGCAACATAAAACACAGTTGCAAAGTAGACAAGATTAAGCTTCCTAAAATCAGGATGGGGGGGGGGGGGGGGGGGGGGGGGGAAATTTATTTTTGATAGGCAATACACTGTAACTCCTACTCTCAGGTTTTAAAGTTAAAAGCAAAAAGGAAATAAAGAGATAGGGAAGAACTTCAAAATATAATTCTGTTCAGTGAAAGCTGAGGAAAAAAAATCAACCCAGGGACAGCTGAATACACATTTCAGTTGGTGTACCAATTGAAAGGGAAGGGGAGGAGGAGAACTATTACACAAAGGAGTGTAGTTAAACTTGTAAACATCACATTAAAAATTAGAGTGATCAGTTATGATATCTGATATTGATATTTCATTAACCCAAGAAGCTCTTATTTTAAATCTAATAGCTAACTACTCCAGTCTAACTCCACTCTAACAGTAATAATCCAGATAAGAAAATTACAAAAGCCTCTGAACTTGCTGAAATGTCCATCAGAGGCACTACTAGGTGGAAGCAAGTGAAAGGCTTACAAACCTAAAAAAAAAAAACCCAAACAAAGCCACCCTGAAAAGCAGAAGATGCATGGTCATTAGAGACGACTTCATAATATAGTGTCAGGAGCTAGAAATGCACTGTCAAGAATGTACTGAATTATCTACTCCCTTTCTAAGCACACGACTAATTTCACTGCACTCCTGCTACACCAGCCAGCGAGGGACTGTCTTACATGTGACACTGTCATGGCTTACACAACTGTGAAAGGCAAGCACAAAGACAGCTGCCTAAGACAGTCCTGCATCTTGTCATGAGGGCATATGTCAAACATGAAGCATACACAAAATACGTCTTGTTTCAGAGCACAACTGCAGCTGTCATTTTTCATGCATTTCCAAAATCTGATAAAGCAAAAATGAATGAAAAGAGGGCCGTACAGTAGAAGATCAAGTCTCCAATGAATCCAAGCAGTTACATTTCTGTAGCTGGTATCTATCAAGCCCTGGAAAACTCCCAGTATGGAGTTGTTGCAAATATTTGAACACATAAACCGGTTAATGCCTTACAAACCACACCACTATTATTTATTGTGCAAAATCAGAGTCACACAGAGTAACACACAAATGCTGACACAAGTAACAGGCATCACTCCCTAAGATGGTGCCTATTTCTATCTCAGCTTTTCTGTTTTTCACACCTCACACAAACTCATTCCCCAAAATACGAGTCCCTTTAAGTAACTCCATAGAAATTTAGGCAAATGTAATTTTCTAGCAAACTAAGGATGGTCAGAAGAATGCTACCAGTTTATGCTAAGCCTGTTTGAAGATCCTGCCGGAATCATCTGCTTTGATCAACAGACAGCAGAGATAGCTATTTCCATGCACAGCCACTCGAGCACATAGCCTGCCTGGCACATGCACCTGAGCTGGTAATGTAAGCTGAAATCCTGATCCACAAACAAGGATCTCTGAAGCACAGAGAACTTGATTGTGTTATGCACTCACAGTATTCTTCAAAAGGTGTAGAAGAATTTCAGTGACACAGACTTTCCCTACATGGCGCTGGCCAATATTCAGACACGTTTAAACACCACTTTTTTATACAAGGAAAATAAAGCCATGTTTGGACTCTCTTTACCTTCAGCTAAGCATGATTTTCTTCATCTGTACAAAAAAGCTAATTCAATTGCTTTCAACAAACAGGTGTTAGAATTAAGGCTATAATGCTCTCTACTTAAAGAAACTTAAAAATGAGAAAGAAGTGCCTTTTGGATAAACATTCTCTTAAATAATCAGAAGATGTTTATAACTAATGCCCTTTAAACTGCTTTCAAGGCAGCTTCTTCCAAATCCAGGTTTATACATTTTCCACACAATATAAGACAGTAAGATCTTACTAAGAACTCAGTTTTGACCACTAGCATCAACAATAATTTTACTCTTTAAATACAAAGGAATATGTATAATTATTTTTGGTAATTACAAACTCTTTTTCCCCACAAACACGTAAGACAAATACCTAAGAGATCTTAAGCCTTTTTAGAGGCAAGAATGGGTTCTATAGATGAAAAGTAAGGCTTAAACAAACTAACAGAAACATTTACTCATGTTAAACTACTATAAAACAATCCACAGAAGAGACCTTACAGACCTCACTCTGCGTCACAAGAAAAACATTTTGTAATGAGGCTTTGATGTGAAAATTAATTCAATCACTGATATCCCTTGATAAAACAATTGGTACCGTTCCAGAAATCTCCTTTTAAGTCTGAAAACCACAGGAATAATGAGTATAATGGAAGACCTTCTTTACCAGCTACAACAGCAAGTTAGCAACAAGGGAAATTTATGTCTATGAGCTGAAATGACAAGCCAAGAAAGAAAACTCCATCGTCCAGCTTAAATAAGAAGAGAAATACAAAAAAAAAAAAAAAAAGGAAAAAAAAAAAAAAAAGAAGTCCTCTTCTGCCCCCAAAACACTAATTCCCAAAGAAAAACACGCAAGAATGAAAAAGAAGCATAACTTACAACTGTAAAGGAGCTAGGAAGAGTATCCTGATATTACCCTTAACCCATCTTTACTTCATTGACAATTATTTGTATTACAGTAATGACCAAATACTTAAAGAGAGATCAAATATGCGTTTTACAATTTTCAGCCTCCAAATTTACCATTACTTTATTAAGAAAACCCACAGCCAAAAAAACCAACGAAACAACAACAACAAAAACCAAAACAAAAAAAAAAAAAAAAAAACCAAAAAAAAAAAAAAAAAAAAAAAAAAACAAACAAACAAAAAAACCCAAAACCCCCAAAAAAACCAGAAAACCAAAAACAAAACAAAAAAAGCCCCGACCAAAATTAAATAACAAAATAACAACAACCCCACAAAAACAAAACAAACCCCATGACCAACACTTGTGTAAGGACAGAATTTTCCAGTTTTTATTTTACAAAATTATTTCAAGGTGGACATGGGCCTGGGTAATTTGCTATACGTAACCCTGCTTGAGCAGGGACTAGATAATCTTCAGTGGTCCCTCCAAAGTGAGTGATTCTATAGAGATGCAGAACAGCATTAAAGAGGAACTACCTTGGATTTCATTTCCACTCAAAATACAAAAGGAAAGGTTGTGTGTGACTGACATTCAGGACATGGGGCATGCATGTCTGACGATATTCATACATACACAGGAATCACCCAAATAAAATCTGCGCTGAAACAGAATGACTGTTTTCAACTCAATGCAGCTGTAGTTAATGAATAATACCTACAAAGTGAAAGAACGAAATATTTAAGGCTGGCATCAGAAAAAGTCTTTCCAATGTTGACCTTGGCAAGCCATCTCAGCCATTTAACTAGATCTCTGCAATATAACCATTATCCTGAGTAAAGGACCTAGCATACAACTAAGCTGAGATCCTCAGATGAATTACAGGCCACCACTCATTAAGACAGGGTACCTACATGTTTCCACTGTAAAGAGGACAACGAGTGGAACAGATTTGAGAGGGTCGGACACATCCACGTTTAAAGTTCTTTCAGCAGCCCACAAGAAGGCCATCGACCCAAGCTGCGTGAAAAAGGACAGCACCGATGGCCGGCCGCACACTCCCTACTGCTTCGCATTCCGCCCCCTGCACTGCTGTCTGGGCGCGGCCATTTAGTTTGTAAGGAAAGGCAGGGACGGTAAATTTTGTCACTTCCAGCAGCGCCTCCCTCGCACGAGGCGTGGCGGAGCGGCGGGAAGCGCCGCGGGACAGGGACGCCGGCCCGGGCTGCCGAGCGCGGCGGGACCCGGCGGGAAGCACGGGGCCGGAGGGGCGACGGACAAGGAAGGAACACTTACAGCGGCGGCCACTGCCCCGCCTGCGCGCCGGCTCCCGGGGCGTGTGCGGGGACACACAGGGACACGCCGTCCCCCGCCCGGCCCCGCCAGGCGCCCGAGCTGCTGCTGCCGTCGTTGCCGCCACCCACCCGCGCCCGGCGGCGCGCCGGCTTCACCTCCCCGCCGCTACGGCGCGGCCGCGGCGCCCGCGGATGAGCTCATCCGCCCGGGCCCGCCCCGCCAGCGCGCCCTTCGCCCGCCCGGTGCGCGCCGCCGAGCGTAAGGCGTCTGCTGTCAGCAGAGCTGGCCTCGCCTCCCCAGCTAGAGGCTGATTTGGTGGATATGACAAGTTGCCCATCAGCCGGCAGTGCCCGTGTGGCCAGGAGGGCTGAGGGTATCCTGCGGGGCGTCGGGAGGGGTGTAGAAGGTTGAGGGAGGTGGTGCTGTCCGTCTGCTCGGCCCTCGTGAGGCCGCATCTGGAGTGCTGTGTCCAGTTCTGGGCTCCTCAGTAAAAGAGAGACAAGGAGCAACAGGAAGAGATCATAAGCAATGGCAACAGTGGCCGTAAACATAAAAAAAATTCACTTCAACATAAGGAAGAATTTCTTCTAAATTGAAGGTGAACACTGGAACAGGTTGTGCAGGAGATGGAGGGTTTCCCTTTCTGGAAATACTCAAAACCCACATGGATGTGTTCCTATGTGACCTGCTGTAAGTGACCCTACCTGGGTGGGGGGGTTGGACTGGATCATTTCCAGAGGTCCCTTCCAACCCTATTTCGTGATTCTGTGAATGTCCCTCTCCCTGGATGTGGGGGCCGGGGAGGGCGAGGGCAGGAATTGTACTGGTGCAGCCGCTGGTGGTGATGTTCAGTGTTGGGATTGCCCAGCCATTTGTACCAGCTCTGGTGGGCGCATTGAAATATCCACATGGAGACGCACACTTTTTGTTTGCGCACTGAGGTGGGGCCATGTGACTGATCTGCAGGCAGCCAAAATCCCAGTAGCCTCTGCTTAGAGCATAAATAATAAAAAAATAAAAGCATTTATTTTTACATCATATGTGTGATTAGACACTTAATTCAGTCATTTAGATTGGCAATGAATGATTAAGCTCTTGAAGCAGTTAATCACTGGTTAGCTGATTCCGTGTGACAGGGTTGGGTGGGTGCATGTTCCAAGGATGCACCGCAGTGGGAAATTGTTCTGTTACTCCTGCTAGTAAAATGAAGACACATTAAACATTTCCAGTGATTTTGAGAACTGAAACAGCCCCATGAACATTTAATTACTTATGCAACATGGAAAAACCACTGACAGCAAAAATTGGGAGTCTCTCCCAGAACTTCCAGTTGCATTTTCTAGGGCATTTTCAAGGATGGTGGGAAATTTGGATTCAGATCCTTGCTAACCAGCAGAAATAGCAAACAAATTTCTCTTCCATCAAGCAATTGCTGTTATCCTTGGATTACAGGGGCTTCCTGTCCCCACTGAACAAATTATGCTAGGCAGGGAATTTGTGAATGTAGTTTGAAAATGATCCTGAGGAGAAGGTTTTGGCTTAGTTTTGTGAAAGTGTTGTCAGATGAAAAATGGTTTGCACCAGGTGGGCTAATACAATGCTTACTCTTCAAAAACCACTGGCCTGTGGAACCACATAATGCTTATTCTATAGGAACAACAGCTGGAAAGCAGCCAGCTCTGCTGTGCCAAATTTTACCAGTTCCCCAGGTAGTCAGGTATGACTTTGGGGTGGCTGACCACCAGGGAGCCCAGAAGAGACCCCCCAGGACAGAAGAATGCATGCACAGAGGGGAAAGAACATATGTCAGTGGTTTCAGGGAAATCATTATCAATGTATGTTTATTCCAAGAAAACCAAAGAATATGTATGTAAAGAATAGTATACAAACAGGAACTTTTTCTGTACTCAGCATGCATGATTTCTGGAGGAGATATGCCTTCGTGCATCTGGCTGAATAAAGAATGCCTGCTTCTTAATGCTACACTGGTGTTAAGGAGTTCTTTTCTTTTTCCTGGTTTTTGGTATCAAATACCTGTTAGCAGAAAATGTAGGGGCACAAATACTGGACTCAGGAGCCTATATAACATTTGGATGCCTACTTGCCCTTGTGAATTGCAAACTTATTTAGAGCAGGTCTGATGGAAATGGTTTTTAAAACATCCAAACCTGCCAGAAATCTCAATCTTTCCAAAGTAATTGGAACATACTAACACTGGTAGGAACATAGTAGAAAATATCTCTATTTTCTCTGACACAGCCAGATCCAGTAGAGGGTCTTCTGTTTCAGGATTGCATCTGCACTACCCGTACTCCAGAAAGACTTTCTGACTAGGTCTATGTGCGGTAACCAAGGGAAGGCCGCATCTAGCATTGATATGCCACTTTGGTTAGGTTTCAGTGTATGTCCTGAATCCAGATAAAACCACTATTGAAACAGTTCATTTTGAGAAGATATGCAGATACATATATATAGATGTGTAGATATAAACAATGAAACTACATATTACTTTGCAAATACTAGAAACGGAATCTAATTTTTTTCTGATCAGGAAAACCATAGGCTTAAGCAAATGCTGCACTGCAGCAACCTTTGAGGGGTTTTTTGTTGTTGTTTTCAGTGCACAATATGGTTCAAGTTTCCTACTGATGTAATAGTGATGTACAGAGCTCTTTAATTTAACTGCACTTTGTTAAAGATCTGTGGATTGCCATACTTGTTGACTATTCTCACTTTTACTTGCAAACATGACAGCTTTTCCAGGGACTGAGAGAATGCACCATTATAGCCAAAAGAAAATAAGCCAGAATATCATCATGAGGATAAACCAACCTGTTTCTTGCTCTATATTTACCCGAAATCTACTTATTTCTTGAAAGAGCTGTTCTATGACAAATACCATCTGTCCATATCTATACAGCATGGCACATTATCATCATCCTTCCCATTTACAATAAATCACTGTGGATTGCTCTTGTCAAGTGAACAATGGATAGCCTGATATTCATGAATATTGGAGGCTTGTTTTATTTGACATTAAACATAAGCCAAGTAGTTACCTGCTTGTGATTCATTAATGAATTTTGTTACTAAAAAGAACAGCTTAGTGTAAAATTATTACTGTAATTACTCATATTACTATGAAACTAAAGATTACATAAAGGGGTATGTTATAACAGCTTATTCAGGCAATATTTCAAGACTATTCATATTTAACACCTTTAAAAATCGTACTTCAGACAAGTCCTAAAACTAAAAAATACTGAAAGTAATTGCTGAATACTTTAAAAAAGAATTAATCACTAGTATTTTGGTGCCAAACCTGACAGCAGTGGCAATTATTTGGAGCAGTTGCTGTATGTAAGGAGTACTTGAAACATTGAGAAGAGAACAAAACTCAGTCTAACAAGTGGTGTCTAGACTACTCACAATTAATAAACTCCATTTACAAGCCAGCTTTTAATTGATTACAAGATGCCAATGACAAAGAAATAAAAGACATGAAGATTGAATTCTGGAGTGACTAATATTGCTGTTAACTAGCATAGTTGATAATACTAATTACTATGCCCATTATCTTGTAATTACTGTGATCTTGTAGCTAGTATTTGCTCCATCCGGTGAAGTCAAAGCAGATTAGAGCTGGTGTATAAATTCTTTTTCAATTACATTACACCGTTGTGCTGTTCAGGAATAGCATGAGCCCATGTTAAAAATTTACTTCTTTTTTAGAGCCACAAAAAGAAATGGTACATGTGAGTATGGCACTTTGTTGGCATAGCAAACTGAGCTGTTAAAGATCAGTTGAAGACTGTATTTGACAGTTGACATTAAAGATGCATTTGATGAAGAGTGTGCAAAATTTTGGTAATAGTTTGAAACTTGATGTTGGCTGCTTTCAAACTTCTTTGAACATATGGCTTGCCTTACACTGTTAATTATTGTTTGTGATAATAGGGCCTAAAACCCAGTTAAGCAAAAAGCTCTACAAACACAGAGGAAGAGGCATCATGTGTTTTAGAGAGTTACCATGTAAAGAAACAACAGGCACACTTAATATCGAGGGAAAGGGTTTAACAAAGAGGCAGCAGGAATGGTGTGATGGCAGCAAGGATCTCCCACGCATCTTCACAGTAGTAACAGTGGTATGTAAGTAAGAACTGCTATAAATGTATATAAACTTTATGAAGGAAATAAAAGGGTGAGTAAGAAAGCACAACGGACAAGGTGGTATAAAAACAGGTATGTATGAAACATCTTTAAAACCTTGTAAACTTGTATACCTCAGTCTTTTTTATATTACTTTGATGGCTTTCACAGCGGTCCTTCCTGCTAAATTCTTAACTTGTTTTGTCATGGGTTTTTTCCCCCAATGCCACATATTTAAGAAAAATTCTAAATACTCCTAAAATTATCACTGGTTATCACAGAATGAATCTAGTTGAAAGGGACTGCAGTAGGTGATGTAGTTCAGCCTCCCTGCTCAAGAAGGGTCATCCTAGAGTACATGGCACAGGATTGCATCCAAGTGAATAGTCTTGACTATCTACAGTGAGGGAAACTCCACAGCCTCTCCAGGTAATCTGTTCCAGTGCCTGGTCACCTGCACAGTAAAGAAGTTCTTCCTCATATTCAGGTGGAACTTGCTGTGCATCAGTTTCTGTCCATTGCCTTTGTCTTATTGCTCAGCCCCACTGAGCAGAGCCTGGCTCCATCCTCTTGCCACTCTCCCTTCCCATCTCCCTCAGCCTTTTCTTGCAACATTATCCAGACCCTGGAGGAACTCTGTAGATCTTTTCTGGTCTATCTCCAGGAGCTCCCTGTCCCTCTTCTCCTGAGGAGCCCAGAACTGGACAAAGCACTCCAGATGTGCCTCACCAGGGCTGAGTAGAAGGACTGGATCACCCCACTCACCCTGCTGACAATGCTGCTCCCAATGCACCCCAGGACACCATTGGCCTTCTTGGTCACCAGGGCACACTGCTGGCTCGTGGACAGCTTGTTGTCCACCAGGAACCCCAGGTCCTTCTCCACAGAGATGCTTTCCAGGTCAGCCCCCAGCCTGTGCCTGGGGTTATTCCTCCCCAGGTCCAGGACCCTGCATTTGCCTTTGATGA